GTTTCCTTTATCCTAATTTTTCTGTCTATTTTATTTTTATTGGTTTTCTTTTTAAAGACAACCAAAACTTCAATTCATCACAAACAAGGGAAACTAAATTAACACACATCATCATTTTTTCTTTTCTTCTCAGGTGATAATGATCTACCAACCATGATACCAAGCTAAGGTTTTTGCCGAGACTGTGCAGTAGTATGAACGATAAATGGTCTTAATAAACTCTTCCAATTGGCAGTGTTTTCGCATAAAGGTTCTATGCCAAGTACCACACAGAAAACACCCAAAAGGTAATGGGCAAAATTCTGGTGGCAGGGAAGCACTTAAATCTAGGGGTAAGGGGACCAGAGGAGAAGCCCTCCTGGGGGGAGACAAGATCGAGTGGTAGCGGGGGTTAGGAGTCCTGATCAGTCTGCGGGGGTGAGGCCCATATCCCCCAGTCACTAGGAACTAAGGGGAACCAGGAGGGGTGGCTCTCCTGCAGGGTGGAGTACAGATCAGGTGGGACCGGGGGTCCACACCCTGGAGTAGATATTTTTCCAGAGCTGTCTCCAAGGGCTAAGCCTTACTGTGGGGTAAAGTGCAGCCAGAGGTTGCACTTCCCTGCCACTACCTTTATTGGGAAGCAAGAAGGTAGTTCCACATCCCAGAACTTAATGAAGGAACGAGACCTAGTCCAGTATAATACCATAATATAAATGGTTGATCTTTAAGACACATATAGATGTAGAGGAATAAAATAATGCCTGACATACGTTCTGGTCGTGCCAAATATATCGTGAACATAAGTAATAATCGACAGAGCTAAACAAAGGTTCCAGTCAGAACAAAGGGTGGGTGGGAGGGAAAAAACACTGTTGTGAATGAACCGAAGCCCTAAGGGAAGTAACTGGGAAAGGACAGTGTACGGCAAAAAGAGGAGCACATGTGCATGATGAGCATGTGATAATATTGTTGAAGAACCTTACCGGGGGTACTAGCAGGCTCTAACAACAAACAGACGAGTTCTTGTTCAATCGACTCTCTTTAATTCTTCCGTAAGGTGTCACGAAGTTAGTGCAACTTGTATTTTACAATTCTCTACTAGATCAGTGTTACACGCATTTTTATATCAGCCAGGAAACCAGCTGCTTAGCGCAACCCGAATGCTGACGTAAGTCTAATCCGATTAGCATGAAACCTTCGAGATAATTGCTTTGTCGAAATGACTCTTAACCAAAGTTTTCACTGCTAAGCTTAAGTCAACTGGCCAGTATAAAACTAGGAGAACAATATAAAAACTACAAGGTATATACCAGTAAACAGACTTTTCATACTAACAGATAGGAAAGTACTAAAATTACAGTTTGAAAATCCAAGGTTGTTGTCAATTTACAGAAGGTGTTAAGCTTCTTCATCGAAGATGATTGGCTGCAACTTTTCCATAATTTAACCACGAACGTGATCGCAAACTTAAAGGATAAATTAAAAATGCAGTTCAAAGTACAAGGCAGAATTTAAAACAATAGTTGTTTGATTACAAAAACACCTATAAAATCACTAAGCCTAATTAAAGTTATCCACTGCCAAGAATTCGGTTAAAAACTCGAAGAAACACGCTTAAAACTCTTCCAAAAAAAACAGCAGGGTAGTAGTTCCTGGTAAATATCGAAGGGAGACCAGATTAAGGTCAAGGATGTCAAACTAGACAAAATAATTAATATAAACAAGGCTTTGTCACCTGTCAAAGGCTTTAATTAAACATATCTCATAAAAAGAAGTATTACCGCGGAGATGCACCAAATTGGTACATCTCCTTTGTACCGAATTCATGTCAGGAGAAACTTTCTATCGATCATCAATTACCTTATACAACCAAACCTACCAGTAGTGAAGTAGCTTACTCAAACCAATCAACAAGAACGCTTATAACAACTCCACTACAAACATATATTGTAACAATTGTCGCAAGTGGCTAACGTAACCCTTCAATCAACATTTTCCGTCAACAAGACCAAAGAGAATGAATCAACAGAAATCATTTTCTCATTTCGGGAGAGGATGTCGTTTAATCAGTGTTGATGCGTAGGAGTTAACACCAAGTAAAATGAGTCAAATTGTTTTTTATGATATTTCCCTTAACCTATAAATATTTCCCGAAACGAATGAATTTTGCAATAAATCCCAAACACCGAATAAAATTCCTTTAATAATGTTAAGTCAAAAACGTGCGCACTGCGAACATTTTCCATCGCTTCCATTTTTATTGTTTAACAAATACTCCCCACTTAGACGGAGCTGTCCCCAGCAACAAATAAAGAAGAGAACAATCAGTGCGATGGAAAAGGAATACTAACAATAACTGCATATAACAATGAAAAATTCCAACAACACAAGGTAAAAACAAGACGGATAAATATGGATTGTGCGTTAAGGTTTTTGTTTTTTGGGGGTACATTTTGTACTTTTATGTTTTGGTTTATGTGGTGTTTTAAAATTTTTGTGTATAAAATTGGTTTGGGCAACGCTTAAAAAGAGGAGGGAAACCGTCAACATGCAAGGTAGGAACGACTGTGTCGTTGGTTAACAGTGAAGAGTGACGTTACCCAAGGGGTATAGATAGTTAAAACTGGCTCATATATTCTGCCCAACCAGGCGGTGTGGGAGGAAGAACGTACCGGGGAAAGGGATCATCATCCGGCTCCAGGGGGATGCCAAAATATGCGAACCATTCATCCGGATCGGGTGGCGGTGGCGGGGGAGGCGGATAATGAACCCTCCGAAAACAAAAGGGATTCGGTCCCAAAGGAACATTTGGGCTCGAAACATGGTATGCTTGGATTGGCGCCCGACAGTGAGGACAGGAGTCTCCCACCGCCTGATTGGCAAAACGCAAACACTCAAGAAGGCACTCCTCGTGTATGTACTTGCGACAACACAAGAGAGGCCGGCTTGGGTGTTCGTGAGGTGAATCCAGACAGACGAAAGACTTAGTTTCGAGAAAAGATGTTAAGCGCGCCTTTGCACGGTCTGGGCGGTGCTTTCGTCTTGCTTTAGGCATTAGGGCAACTATGGAGGAAAAAAAAATTACGGATATGTGTTAGTTTGACTTGGAGCCACGAGTAGTATTACTTCACCGCGTCAAGTGAAAAACCAAACTAACAAGGGAATAAGGGGTTCCCTCAACAGAATTAGGATGGTCTTTGTAGCCACGAGCAGTATAACTTCACCGCGTCGAATAGTTGTTGAGTGAAAGAAAAATATAGTAGCCCAAAATGCAAACTTAAACGAAATAGGTGTGCGCGAATTCATGCCCAAAAACGGCATAGCTGGTAGAATTGAGTGTTTGTACTAAATCCGTTGTAAACCGAGAACGAACTCGTAAATGCCGAGGAATATACAGCTGGATTAGATCGAAAATAACATGATGAGGAATTAACAAATAATCACATAAGCGAATTACAGATAGAAATAAGTCAGATGCAAATGTTGCCTGACGTGTACGCTCCAGAAAATCGAATAAGAAATTTACTTCTGCGGGTGAATAATCAGAAGGCAAACAAAACTGTTGTACGGAATGCTCAGACCCACAGTGACTGCAAGATGAGGTTGTAAAATTAGTGTCATGCCTATTCAGAAACGCTTCATAAAACGGACTGCAAAAGGAGAGTAAGGAAGGTGAGACTAACCGTGAAAACGCATAGGCTGGAACTCGAACTATATGGGTTTTGTGTGAAGACTCAGCTAATTGTAATAGCGGACGGGATTGATGAAAATCCATGCTGAGAGACGATAGGCGATCTAGAACAAAGGAAAACGCAGTATAAATAACTGGTAACAAAAACAAAGACTGAAATTTGCATTGAGATTGCGGATTGTCAAAAGTACCAGAGTGATTCCCAAATAGGAAACAAATGCTGAATTGGAGATTTTATAGATAGTGTGAAACGAATTAAACTGAAACAGGCTTATTACAGGCGGAACAAGTGGCATTTTCTTGACTAGGTTCAGTGTTAGTAGTCGATGGAGAGGCTTCAAGCTCGATGTCGTTTTCACTGACAGGCGATGTGTCGGAGGCGGCGTTTGTACTACTTTTAGGAGACTGTTTGCGCCGAAACAGAGCAGTACTAAACAACGGTTGATTTGGCAGTCGTTTCATGCGACAATACAAGACAATGATGACAAAAGTGTTCAGCAAGGTGAGTGAGAGAGCAATATAGGTAAGCCGATCATTAAGTGTGGTGGAACGAACAGAATGTAAATGGGAAAGGTCTTGTTTTATTGTGGCGATTTGAGAAGTGAATTGTCCGTCAAGCAGAAGAAATGTGTGGTCAAGTGATTGGAGTGTTTGATTATCGAATTGAAGTGGAGGTGTAAAATTAAGCGATTGGTAATGTAATTTTAAAAGGTCATCGTCGTCATTTTGCCACGGAATGTAACGAAATGAATTAGAACTGAATAACGGTAAATGAAGAGTTATACTATGACGGCAGGTACCTAAACCGGTTTGTTGAGTAGTGAAAGTTAATTCGCAAGGAAAATGGTAGACCGTTAATGGTGTAAGTGAAATTAAACGAGAGGAACCGTCAGTAGTGTTGAAAACGGGTAGTAACCCTTGTTGAGTAGACAAATAATATCGGCCTCCTAAATGGTATAAATTGTGAAGGTCTGAACAGTCCGGCGCTTGTTGGTGTCGCCGAACGAAATTCAGTTTTGCGTTTTTATTCCAAGGTAGGCCTAACCATCGAGTATCGTTGACTGTCTTCAAAATGTGTTGGGGACAAACAAAAGTATCGTCTGTGTGATAACATTTGTCTAATAGTGTACGTTTTAAAATAAATTCAGCGTGTGGACAATGTAACAAGGCTAATTCATCGCGAGTAATTGGACCTTGAAAACATGTGCCAGAGATATTATATTTTAGCGGAGTCAGATATTCGATAGTGCAAAACGCGTGTTCAGGAGTCAGTTCAGGAATAGTGAAAAGAATATTGATTGCCATAGATTTTGCCATGTATTGAAAATTAATCGACAAACGGTTGCAACAAAATTGGGTAACCAGCCTCCAATGCAGAGACTGTATGTTGTAGTGAGGGCAGTGAATGAAGTTGGTGTTGTATGCTTTTGGTCAAAAACGAAGGAAGATCGGCAAAACTGACAAGTTGCTTGTTATGAAGCTTGTGTGCTTGATACAGGATATCATTTATTTCGGTGAAACGGAGCTGTGTTGAGAAGGTTCTAGCTATTTCTAAGGAAAATTTTGACAGAAATTCCATATAGTTATTGTGGTGACAGTTTTCGTGGGTGGCAAAGGCTTGTATTTTTGTCTTCCATTCTAGGAATGTAGAATCAAGCGTACGAATGGACGATTGCAGGTTATTAACCTTGGTAACCAATTTGTCTGTTATTTTTGCGAGGTAAACTGTTTTGCCGTTAACAGTTTTGACCATCTGTTCCAATGATTTTTGGGCTCCTAGAAATTTTATAAAAATTTGCATTAACCCGAAAACATCAACTCGAGGGTCACAGGATCCTCCTAAAACTTTGGTATAGAACAATTTTGGCAAACCTAATAATCCAGCTCCACAAGCCCAGGGAAGATCCCGTTTTTGGCGAGAACTACGCGGAGAATTTTGTAACCACTGACGTTCATGAGGAGATATACCAGTACATGTTTTTAAGGCCCATAGTTTACATTCGTGAAGTGACTTTTTATAGAAGTAGGGGCACGACATAGTAGAGGTCATTCCTGTAGAATACTGGTAATATCGCCTGATATAAGAATCACACTCAATTAAAGAAGTATAACCGTGTGAAAACATGATTCGCTACATGGATTTCTGCACTGTTCGCAATTGCTCTAACAGCTGCCCTAGAAAATGAGACTTATCGCTATCGCAAGTGTTGTTAATGGTAAAATCATGGCCAATTTCGGGCGTGCGCAGATCAATAAGCAGGTTAAGTAATTTGATATCCTGATAAAAAACGATAGCCTTTGGAGTACGAGAAAGCATCAGTGATTCAGGATAATAAGTGACTCGTTGACCGTTAAGATCATAATCAAAAGTTGAACTTTCCTGTGTATGAACTAACTGAGTTGATAGTAAGAATAAAACGACAAGGAACAAAGTAAACCTAAATTCCTTGGAATTCATCCAGAAGGCTTTAATCCAAAATATTCTCGGCCGGTTCCCAAGTCGCGTCTGAAACAGGGTAGTTTGCCCATCGGATGAGGTACTGAACTTCGACATTTCTTCTTCTGGATCGGAGAATCTTTTCGGCTGCAAAGACATCTGGGTCTTGGAAGACGTCTGTAGAGTCAACGGGACTAGCGTTAGGATTCTCGTTAACATCTTGTATGGGTTCAGCATTACTTGAGCTAGAGGGAGGAGAATCATCTGTAGAAAAACTATCAGCGGGAAGATCAGCAGCATCGAATGCAAGATCATCAGGATCGTCTACTGTTGGTGGTAAAATAGGCCGATCGGCAGGGTCATAAAAGTGCTTTAATCTGTTAGCGTGAACAGTCGTGGCCACTAAGCGGTTGTAACAAGTGCGAACTTGATAATGCACAGGAGACAATTTAAGGCAGATTCGAAAAGGACCGTTCCACTTTGATAACAGTTTCTTACTAAGGCCTCTTTTTACCTTTGGCGTATAAATCCATACTCGTTGGCCGACCTCAAATGGTGCATCCGCTGAATTCTTATCATACTTCAATTTCATCAGTTGTTGAACTCTAGCGATATTCGAACGCGCAATGGACTGGGCAGTTTCTATTTGGCTCACTATGCGAGCGCGATGTTCGTTGACCGAAGCGAAAGTTGAGTCGCTGGCAACAAGCTTACATCAGGTGGCAAACGAGGTTCGCGCCCATAAAGCAAGTAAAATGGGCTGTCGCCAGTAGTAACGCTCGGTGAAGTGCGATAAGCAAATTGGATTGCGGGGATATAAACATCCCAGTCCTGTTTGTTTGAACTAACAAAACGACGAGATAGCTTCAGCTAAAGTGTTATTAAAACGCTCAACCAGACCATCTGTTTGCGGATGATAAGCAGTTGTGTTTACCTTTTTAGTGTTCAGCAATTTACAAACCTCAGAGACCAAAGATGAGAGAAAATTGCTTCCTCTATCAGATAGAAGAATGCGTGGTGCACCATGGCGGTAGAAAATTTCATCGACAAGAAGTCGTGCGATCACAGAAGCTTCGATTGACGGAACAGGGAAACACTCTACCCATTTTGTCAAGTACTCAGGAAACAGAACAACATATCGGTTACCTGCTTTAGAAACCGGGAATGGACCAATTATGTCACAAGCGACACGGTCAAAAGCATCCTGAACTGGGATCGGTAACAGGGGAGCCTTGTGCCGATTGCGAGGACTTTTCCTCATAGCGCAGTCACAACAACTGCGACACCAATGACTAACATCAGAAAACATCTTTCGCCAATAGTAGCGAGTACGAAGTTTCTCATAGGTCTTAACAGTACCAAAGTGTCCACCGGTAGGATCGTCATGAGCCCAAACTAGTAGTTCATAGCGCAAGGCGGTTGGAATCACTAACTGTTGGTAAGTAGTGGAGCGACGGCGATCTTTTGGAGTCCACAGGTGGAAAAGCAACCCATCTTCATTAAGAAAATAGTCATCAACAGTCAACAAAAGAGAACGCGCAGTGTCGTTGTGATCCGGGAGTTTCCATGTTTCTAGATATTGAGCAAGGTCAGAAGATCTGGGTCGCGGCGTTGTAAGTCGCGCACGCGCGGTGTTTGGACGCCTGGAACATCATAAGCGGAGATGGACGGAGAAGGAAGGGTGTACGGTCGGCGAGAAAGAGCGTCGGCGTTTGCATGTGCTGCTCCTGGGCGATGGCGAATTTCAAAGTCATACTGCTGAACTAAAAGTGACCATCTAGCTAATCTTCAGGAGGGGTCAGAAATGGACAAAACCATTTAAGAGAATGGTGATCGGTATGTAAAACAAATTTTCTCCCATATAAATACGGTTCGAACTTCTTGATTCCAAAAATTACGGCTAAGGCTTCTCTTTCGGTGGTACTGTAATTTTTCTCTGCTGAATTGAAATCGCGACCAGCATAAGCGATAGCAACTTCGCGACCATTCTGAATCTGTCCTAAGGTTACTCCTACTCCTTCGTTAGATGCATCTGTGTACAAATGAAAGGTTTCCTTGAAATCTGGAAATGCTAGGATGGGGGCACGTATAAGTGCCTCTTTTAAGGCTTTGAATGCCTGTTCACAAGCATCTGTCCAGAGAAATTTGTGGTCTTTGCGCAGTAGTTGGTTTAAGGGTGACGCAATTTTGGCAAACGCCTTGATAAAGCGTCGGTAATAGTTAGCTAAACCCAAAAATGATCTCACAGTCTTAACATTGTGAGGACGTAGGAAATCTCTTACGGCTGCTATTTTATCATCGTCTGGTGCTATTCCTTCAGGAGAAACAACATGCCCTAGGTATTTAACTTTTGGGCAAGCAAATTTACACTTAGAAGGTTTTAGTTTCAGGTTTGCGTGACGCAGCCGATCGAAAACTTGTCTGAGATGGCTCAAGTGGTCCTCAAAGGTTTTGGAATAGACGAGAATGTCATCTAAGTAAATTAAACAGATCTTATACGTTAGATTTCGTAAAACACATTCCATTAATCGCTGGTACGTTGACGGGGCCCCAGTTAATCCGAATGGGAGCACTAAAAACTCGTAAAGACCACCATAAGTAACGAAAGCGGTGTGTTCACGTGACTCAGATTCCATTTCAACCTGCCAAAACCCACTCATTAAATCCATAGACCTGAAAAATTTAGTACCATTGAGTGCATCTAAGGCATCGTCTATTCGAGGAAGGGGATAAGAATCTTTACGTGTGACTGAATTCAACCTTCGAAAATCAACGACAAATCTATCAGTCCCGTCCTTCTTTTTGACTAAAATAATGGGAGACGCCCACGGGCTTGTACTGGGTTGAATTATTCCCCTACTTAACATATCAGTGACATGTTCCTCGATAATACCACGCCGAGATTCAGAGACACGATAAGGTCGTTGTCTAATAGGTGGGTTGTCACCAGTGTCAATACGATGCTTCACTAAACCTGTGCGCCCAAGTTCTTCTGGCTTTAAAGCAAAAACATCGCGATATTCAGCTATCAAAGATTTTAACTCAGAAAGTTGGTGTTCATCCAGGTTAGTCGATGTGAAGTCTAAGGGAACGGTTTCCTCATCCCCAACAGGTGGAGGGGACTGTGCAGGGGTGTCGGAAGTGGCAATAACAGACATTGATGCAGCTGAAGGGGTAAAGGTCCCCACTGTTGTACAGCGGTAAATTGTCACAGGTTTTTGAGTTGGGTTGGGTATCCGAAATGGAAAGGTATGCTGCTCTGAAAAACTTACAAGTTGGGAGGCGCCACAGAGATGATAGCGGTCAATCAGTTTGGTACTGGGCTCTATTAAACCCGTCTTTCCCACTGGTAAGGAGCTCTTTGGATAAACTGGAATAACAGACTCAGACATTGGGGGCAGGATGTAAGTAGCAAGGGCATGCACAGTAACTGGTTCTTGTTCCCTTTGTTGGTCAGGTAAGGGTGGAGATGATGAATGTAAGGGTACCGAATTGGTGCCTGTAAGTGTCAAGGTATTATCTTGTAAATCAATCACAGAACCAAAGTGCATAAGAAAATTTCTACCAAACACGACGGGACAGGTGAGGTTGTCAATAACAAGAGTCTCAAAAGGATATGCGTTGGCACCTATAGTTAAAGGAAGATTGATTTGACCCAAAACTGGGAGGTGTTCACCACTAACCGTTTGTATCGACGAAATAGGTGACGGCTGAAGTTTAGGAGACACCGTGAATGTAGAAACGAAATTACTACTTACCGCAGTGACTGAGGCACCCGTATCAACCAAATTAGCGTGGATCGGTCGGCGATAGAGCCATATAGCCAAAGACTATCTGATGGAGGGTGTACCTGTGAATCAAAGGCATTCACATGCGAGCTAATAAATGGGGGCGTTTGAGGAGGAGTGTACCACTCCTGAGGGGTGGACGCGTCAGTGTCCAATATTTCCTGAACGGAATCAATAATAGGTGCAACCAAATCGACAGACTGGTCAAGGCCTTGTAAACCAGAGTGATTTGCCACAGCTGAAGTGTTTACTTGCGAAAACGCAGCAGGTTCGGAAAGTTCTGAGCGCTCTGAAATAGTATTTTCCGAAACTACGTGATTACCTACCTGGGAAGATGGTTGAGGAAATAGAAAGTCATGCCAAACTTGATCAGGGTTAAACACGCTTTCATGAATAGTAGGTTCTACATGTGAAAACGCAACAGCTGTGTGTGCACCTTGGGTACATGCAAAAGGCGGGTCTATATTTCTTTCACTTGTTGTGTAACTTGAATTTATTTCTTGAGGTTCATTTATATTCTGAATTTGATTATCCACTGGAAAAACGGCCGTATCTTCTTCAATAGGTAATAATTGCGCACTTGAAGTATCATTTATATCTCGTGTAATTTCTGATTCATCATAAACTTCGCCAGTGGAATTCTCTAAAAACATCATTTCGCCACAAATAGCTTCCGAATTTTTATCTGTACGTAGCGCATTTACTTCATTGTGCAAATTTTCATCATGCGATTCAATCTCATTACTTAAAACTGTAATTGTATTATCAATTAAATTGTGGCGCAAGTATTCATATTCTGTGTCATAAATATTGTCTGCAACGTTTTGTTCATTCTGGAAATTTTCTTCTGGTTTATCTTCACATGTAATATCAATTTGTTTAATATTCTCATTTTCACTTGCGCTACTGTGTTCACTGAAATTTCTGTTGAAGTGGATAATCGCCATATTGTCAATAACGTTGCCATGACATTCATTTTCACTGTCTTCTATAATAACATCGTTGTTGTGAACCTCGGAATCGTAAATAATATTATCATTTAATTCGTTTGCGCCGTTTTCAATAAAAACATCTTCATTGTGAACCTCATGAAATTGGGATAAATAGGAATTGGCTAATGTGTCACCCGCGGAATAATATGTACAAGATGAATACGAAGCAACTTGAGGGTCAACCTGACAATTACGTTGTGGATTTGCAGTTCCCGGGATAACTAGATCATCCGAAATAGACAGCTGAGACTCATCGCCTTCGAAATAAATACCCTCTGGTGAATAATTAAATCTTGAAATATTTACATTATCAGCGTTATACGACGCGATTTGCGGTTGTCTAAAATTGGCTCTTGCTCGGGGAAAAGAGCGTCCGGCAAGAGCCCTTACTCGTTTAACTGCGAATTAGGCTGACGACTACTAGGCTGCTCTGAGAATTGGGGCCTATTAGAAAAACGCACCTGGTTTGGAGGAAGCCGTGGAACCCTACCACGCTGTTGGCAAGTTCGCCAAGTGTGTCCTACACGTTGGCAAAAAGAACAGATAGGATCTCCCTCTACTGTGCGAAAATTGCCACCATAGGAGCGAAAATCAGGGCGACGCGGATTTTGGTAACGCCTAAGTTCATTTTCCAACCGATTTATCTGCCTCTGCATCTGGTCAATTTGGCGAGTAGGCTGTCCTTGCCAATTGCGCGTTTGATTAAAACGCGGAGGAGAAGATTGTGGTTGATCATAAGCCGGTACACTGGCAGAATAAGCTGGGCACTGCGTGGTTAGCTTCTGCAGTTGTTTAAGTTGTTTAGAAAGCTCATCAAAACGCTTATCAAAGTGCGATGGAATCGGTTCCATAGAAGCAGTCACAATGGTTGAAGAATTAACAGAGACAGCTTGAGTCATTAATTTCTGAATCATTGCTTCCATTTGATTGATCACTGATTGTGTATCTGGCACACTCTGATGATTACCCACTAATTCTTTGATATGAGCTAAAGATTCGGCTTCCTGAAAGGTCTTAGGTCTAGCTGAAGTCGCATAACTTTGAATGTGAGGCTGAAGACCTTGAGTAAAGTAACGCATAGAATCTGCATCCGATAATTTTAAACGTTTACACAAACGCGTGATGTCAGTAAGATAAACATCGATGCACTCCCCCTTCACCTGTTTCCTTGTGCTTAATTGTTGGCTAAGAATCCAATCATGCGGCCCCGAAGCAAAACGCTGGTGAAAAGCCTCTTTAAGCCTACTAAAATTGTTGGTAACATCTTCGGGAGGGGAAAGAAACCAAGCATGAGCCACGCCCGATGAATACACACTAAGGCGATTTTCAGCGGACCAGTTATTAATTTGTGCAATGCGTAAAAAAGAATCAAACCACATCAAGGCATCTAAAGCAGGATTTCCATCGAAAACATCACGTTTTATGCCACTTGAACTAGGTTTTTTATCAAGACGTGTCTGAATTAAGTCCAATTGTGTTCATTGGGTGTGTGATTCCTTAGCTAGATCTTGCCTTAAGGAATTGCACATATCCTCAAACATTTTCTCGAATTCTCTCTTTTGCTCCTCATTCATTATTGTAGTTGTAGATGGAACTGATTCACCGTGAGGACAAGTACAAATATCAGTGTGGGTCTGCGTACCTAGTGATTTCTTTTTACTGCCTTGAGAACGAGTAACGATGTGACTTGAAGGGGCAGTTTTAGGCATGCACGTAAACTATTTCTATCGTACTTCGCTGAGGCATTACTAGATTAAGTAGCGATATATATATATATATATATATATATATATAGGAAGTCTGTGTTTCGATTTTTCCGTAGTAGAGTGCTCGATCCGTTAAAGTAGAGCGTGATATAAATATTGGAAGTAGGAAAAAAACTACACTTTCATCCCGACAAGCCTGTTTCGTGATCTCTCACTCTTCAGGGGATTTTAATGATAAGAATATTCATAACCATCGACTATATACTTTGACATTACATTGCCTTTCAATCATCAGTTATCTACCAAGCAACCGTCAAACGTAATGACAATAACACTTCGGAAACGTACATCAGACTCCCAGAAAACGCCTTCAAAACTAGGTACAGAAACCACACTGCATCATTCCGTCACACAAAACACAGGAACTGTACGGAACTCAGTAAACATGTCTGGTCCCTGAAAGACAACAACATTGACTACTCTATTTCATGGCGTATCATTTCATCTAGCTCATCCTATAACAGTTCGAGTAAAAGGTGTAACCTTTGCCTCAAAGAGAAATTTTTAATTATCTGTCGTCCCAATCTATCATCACTTCACAAACGTAACGAACTTGTATCTTCTTGCCGCCACAGAAACAAAGCGTTGCTATGTAACAATTACACATTTAAATTTAAATTTTCCCCAACAATGTAATCTCAAAGTATATAGTCGATGGTTATGAATATTCTTATCATTAAAATCCCCTGAAGAGTGAGAGATCACGAAACAGGCTTGTCGGGATGAAAGTGTAGTTTTTTTCCTACTTCCTTGGTTTTGTGTTAAACAAAAGCTAATAATACGCGAAACTAACGATACATCCGAGATACTGGAATAATTGAATCATAATGTTCGCTTACAATTTCCTGGCTTGGGTCTTTCAGTATTCCTTTCTTCGGTCGTCCTTTCCTTTTTGTGTGGTTCTTCGACGCACAAGCGCCTGCTTCTACTTGAATGGTCTGTAAGGAGGTTTAGAAAGTGCAAGATCTTCTTCGGGTCAACGCCCGAACAAGGTGCGGCTTGAACGCGCTGGTTCTTCTCTGCTGGGAGTTAAAACGGTGGGCTTACTTGTGGTACCCGCGGCACTCCTCCTTCGTACAGATATTCTTTAAGCCTGTGGATAATCAGGACTAATGGCAGGCTGTTAGGTCGACGAAGAGTTCCGTTGGGCCTTTGCGGAGTACCACGACCACGACCACGACCAGACATAAAATGGTACGGGAAGAAAGCGGATTTCTCCACCACTTTGTTGAAGAACCTTACTGGGGGTACTAGCAGGCTCTAACAACAAACAGACGAGTTCTTATTCAATCGACTCTCTTTAATTCTTCCGTAAGGTGTCACGAAGTTAGTGCAACTTGTATTTTACAATTCTCTACTAGATCAGTTTTACACGCATTTTTATATCAGCCAGGAAACCAGCTGCTCAGCGCAACCCGAATGCTGACGTAAGTCTAATCCGATTGGTTAAAACAGTTTCATTAGCATGAAACCTTCGAGATAATTGCTTTGTCGAAATGACTCTTAACCGAAGTTTTCACTGCTAAGCTTAAGTCAACTGGCCAATATAAAACTAGGAGAACAATATGAAAACTACAAGGTATATACCAGTAAACAGACTTTTCATACTAACAGATAGGAAAGTACTAAAATTACAGTTTGAAAATCCAAGGTTGTTGTCAATTTACAGAAGGTGTTAAGCTTCTTCATCGAAGATGATTGGCTACAACTTTTCCATAATTTAACCACGAACGTGATCGCAAACTTAAAGGATAAATTAAAAATGCAGTTCAAAGTACAAGGCAGAATTTAAAACAATAGTTGTTTGATTACAAACACACCTATAAAATCACTAAGCCTAATTAAAGTTATCCACTGCCAAGAATTCGGTTAAAAACTCAAAGAAACACGCTTAAAACTCTTTAAAAAAAAACAGCAGGGTAGTAGTTCCTGGTAAATATCGAAGGGAGACCAGATTAAGGTCAAGGATGTCAAACTAGACAAAATACTTAATATAAACAAGGCTTTGTCACCTGTCAAAGGCTTTAATTAAACATATCTCATAAAAAGAAGTATTACCGCGGAGATGCACCAAATTGGTACATCTCCTTTGTACCGAATTCATGTCAGGAGAAACTTTCTATCGATCATCAATTACCTTATACAACCAAAACTACCAGTAGTGAAGTAGCTTACTCAAACCAATCAACAAGAACGCTTATAACAACTCCACTACAAACATATATTCTAACAATTGTCGCAAGTGGCTAACGTAACCCTTCAATCAACATTTTCCGTCAACAAGACCAAAGAGAATGAATCAACAGAAATCATTTTCTCATTTCGGGAGAGGATGTCGTTTAATCAGTGTTGATGCGTAGGAGTTAACACCAGGTAAAATGAGTCAAATTGTTTTTTATGATATTTCCCTTAACCTATAAATATTTCCCGAAACGAATAAATTTTGCAATAAATCCCAAACACCGAATAAAATTCCTTTAATAATGTTAAGTCAAAAACGTGCGCACTGCGAAAATTTTCCATCGCTTTCATTTTTATTGTTTAACAATATGAATGGAACCTTTGTGGATTCTAGTAAATACATCATGCTACGTTACAGTGGGCTTTGCCAAAGGAGAGGGATACATTGTAATCAAACTAGTTACTGTTCATTGTTCTTTCTTGTACTTTGAACTAGTATCTACCATTACTTAGTACAAAAGCTTATACAAATATTGAACGTTGTGTGACAAAAGAACAGAGGCATGATTGTTGCTAGTATGTCAATAAGTGTGCTTTCATAGGGCATAATTCTCACTGGTGCTCAGGTTTATGCTACCATAAACTTGCACTAAAGTCGAAATTTTGGGGGGTTTAATTCTCGAATTTTCCAGGTCCATCCCGCCTTGTACCATCTCGCAGAAGAACAAAATAAACATACATCTTCTATGAAGTCATTAATAACCTGGAATCAATAAAATGTAAACAAACAGCAAATCACGTTAATGGCAATTGACAATTGGTGTGGACGGGTCTTGTTCTGAAAACCACGTTTTTGAGGTAATCTTCACATAAAATTGCCCAATATTTAATTACATGAGTATAAATAGGCTGTTTTGATCTTTTGGTCACTTTTGCCTTTGGATCGCCGTCATCACACGAACCTGATCAAAGCATCGAAATACCTGACTGACTATATCAACCTGATATCGTTCATCGTAACCAGCACGGCAGTCTAAATGGCAAACAGACGCTTAAGAAGCATATATAGTATTTTGGCACTGGTAACTAATTCAATAGGCATGCCGTTATAACTACAACGGGGTCGAAAGACGTGGTATTCTTAGTGCTAAAGTTTATGCGCAGTTCCTGGCATTTCGTCTTGTTTAGTTGAGATTTGTCCGCGGAAGCGCGATTGACCAGGGTGTCAACGGGGGTCCGGATGTGACTGTCTTGGTCCTTGCTTATTGTCTCCGAGATGGTGGTATCGTCGACGTATTTCCAGAGATCAGTGGCAGGAACATCATCTGAGACGAGGAATTTGAAAATCCCGCTTCCCTATAGATTCTTTTCGACATGCTAGAGTTAATTTAGTTTCTATGGCGAGTTATGGTTGCATTTTGGCCTCCTGGTCGATGTACAATTACGGAGCACAAGAGAGACGTCCTGTTCGCCATAACCTCGCAACCAGGCGTCCTAATCGCTTTGGAGCAGTCGATGGGCAATCTCTGCTGCAGGAAGTATGAATCAATAGAAGTTGTAGCATGTATTTTACTATTTTGGGCTAACTCGCCCATTCTGGGCCTAGGGCGAAATGGAAGAGTATGTTCTGTCGCACTTTGTAGTAATTGTCCCACTTTGTAATAACAGACCATCACACTTCGTAATAAAATAAGCTGTCGCAACTTGGTAATAACTCTTGTCGCACTTTGTAATAAACTTGAAATGGATATGGTCGGAGGACTAGTAATCCCAATAATAAGTATCATCATCGAGAAGAACAAAAACAACAACAATAATAATAATAATAATAACAATAACAATAATAACAGTTTATTATTATTATTATTGTTGACAATGTTTTATGATGACGATGATGAAGATGATTATTTATATTAAAGACGCTCGTGATACGGCCACCACAACAACAATCTCAATGATTCCTACTACAAAGATAGACCTCCGATTCCAACACAGTCACTTGAACGAGCGCTCACACTCATCTGAGGACAAAATTCATTCCAATTTCATGGAAAAAAATATCTTCAAATACATGGGACAGCGATGGGAACAAAGGTCGCTGTTGCTTTCGCAAATATCTTCATGACAGAAGTAGAAACAGTTAACTATTTAACAAAACCGGAAGAGAACAATTTATAACACACATTATTGAAAAAGCAAATAATCATCACGCTACTATTAAATTCACAGCAGAAATCTCTGAAAACAAAATTTAATTTCTGGATACGATTGTGTACAAAAACAACTGAAACATTTCATAACACTTCTCATCTTGCCACCCATGAATTCCTCAAAGAAAAATTCAAAAAAAGACTAAAGGAATTTCAAAAGCACCTTAGAGAGAGGGAGAGAGGATATCCACATAATTTAATAAATCTAACTCTCTCTCTGAAATACACTTCAACAAAAATCTTCAAGAGGAAAAACCATTGGGACCTTTGTTACGCATTATCAACCATCAGTCCTACCCTTAAAAGCATGCATCATGAAACACTGGCAAATGATAGAGAGCCAACTTCTTCTAAAACAGATCTACAAAGAACCTCCAATTATATCGCACAAACGAGGAAAGCCTCTAAAGGATATACTCGTAAGAGCTAAACTCTGAGAATCAAAAGCTATAAACACGTAGGTGGAAGGTGTGAGTCACGCTTGTCAACCCTTTGTAATTTTCCTCGTCACCCGTGTTACTAGTAAAACTTTCAAAATATCTTCCTTCTACAATCACCTTTTGCCTGAAGAACACCTTTAGTTACTTTTACTGACAACCCGATAATACGGATAGCAGCTAAATTCCAATACAAACTGGCCTATTATTACGGACTATCACAGTTATAGACACTATCTCATGGCGTCGTGGTCTCGAGGTCGTCCTCATAGAACAAGTTGTACTTCGCTACAAAGGTTTTGAAGCCGGAAGGCCAAAGTTGATGTGAGCACTTTCCAACGCCCCCACTTGAGAAACTGGTGCTGAAAACCGTTCAGGGAGTTATTATTAGTAGTATCGTTGTTGTTCTCGATGATGACACTTCATTTCAAAGTGCAATGGTCTGTTATTAAAAAGTACGACAGCTGTTTTACTACAAAGTGCGACAAGTGTTATTACAAAGTGCGACAATTTTATTACAAAGTGCGACGATTATTACAAAGTGCGACAGAACAGAGTAGCCCTGGAATAGTAACCTCCATGCTGCTATCCGACTTGCACACTCATCAAGGTCAAGTTGCCTGCCTTTGTTAGAAATTTCAACAGATCAGATACTCCATCGGCTGTTGAAACTTCGCGATATCTTGTGTATATTTGCATCAGTTCCGTAAGAATTTCACGAAAGATTTTCTTCTGTTCATCACTTAAACCTTGAGAACGGTACCCTGTGATGTCTGAAAACAGAGAAAATGTCACTAAGAATTCTTCATTCAGAAAAAACAAAACAACCTTGTGATATTTAGTGTACATTGGTATTCGTCTTGTCAGAATTTCATGGACTACTTTCTCCTGTTCATCATTCAGGTCTTGATAGCGGAGCGTCCGCTCGCGCAGCTGAGACCCATAGCTATCATGGTAAGTTATTGAAAACCGACAACTATCGATGCCAGAAAATTTGGTTATGACCTCAGCGTACGCCCGAACGAACGTCCGTACAGACTCAGGGAATAGGGGTAAAAAACTCAGTAGGGTAGGGAAGAGAGTCCCCGACTTGCACGTTGCGTTTCGTTTTTGCCCAAAATTAACCATTTTAGGGGCAACCGACGCATTTGCACGAGTAAAAATGTAGATTGAAGTTTCTTGTGTCCGACTTACGACAACATTTTCGCAAATAAATTGCTAAGGCTCTTTAATGCCTTGTGCTTGTTCACGCTTTTGGTAACACTCCAGGAACAACCTAGTCTACCTCATCCCTGCTTGGTCAAAATTTTGACAGGTTGATTCATGAATGAAAACTTATACGTCATCTAGGGTGTGTTCCTTTCGGCGAATCCAAAAACGGATTTTGATCCGCGAATTGCCGGATTTCGCGGTCGAAAGGAACACGAAATCCGAAATTGGATTTGTAACCTTGGTAACCTTTCGCAACAAACGCATGCAATATGCATGACAGCCTCTCAAGAAATGACGTGTTTTCCATTTTGTTTAACATATTAGCGGAGCTCCGTGCGCGAAGCGCGCCAGCGGAGCACCATGGGTAAATAAATCTACCAATCCCAGAAAATTTGGTAATCACGTGACCGAGCGACCGAGCGACCGAGCGACCGAGCGACCGAGCGACCAAGCGACCGAGCGACCGTCCGTCCGCATCACAGGCATACCAATGTTTACTCACACTTTCTAGCTACTTTGGGAGCCCAGGAGAAAGCTAATTGCACATCAACGTTGTGGTCAATTCACAACTGTCAAAACAGGGTATCCGCTGAACAGTATCACCTGACCGTATCGCGGACTCAGGTGTCGACCCATCCAGGTCGAGTATATTTTTGAAGTTATCCGCTGACAATTTACTCGTTTTCAAATGATCGCAGGCTCAGTTTTTTTAAATTCATATCAAATATGTTGTGTTTATGTCACTATCGCCCAGAACTATTACGGTTTTGATTTCAAACTGACCTCAGACGCAAAAATTCAGCCAGTTTTTTTTTAAATACAGGCGGGGAAGACCTTTTCTTACCATGGTCACGTGTTGGTCACGCTCCACGTCCAATTTTTATGCTCTGATTGGTTAAAATTTGACAGGTGAGTTCATGCGTAAAATTTATGCAGCATATCTTGAAAGTTGTTTACTTTGACAGCTGAAGCTTACAGAGTTTTGAGTCAACTTGTGATGTTTTTAACTGTCTTTTTCCACGGAATGTACAAAATGAAATACAGCTGCTATCAAGAGTCTTCTCTTATTCATGGCTGGTTTGTTTATTGGGTTTTTCGTTGAGAAATGCGTCGCTTGTCAAAGCCGATAATCCGATTTCGGATGGCATCGTTTTTGTTTTTCACCTTGCTGGATGCATACGAGAATTATAAAGGCTCAAGCGATCCTTGCCTTACTTGATAGCTTTCAGGAACTGCATCTCGAAATATGGTAAGCGTGAGTAATTATTGTATTTATATCTAATTTCACGAAGTCGAGCGCAGTTTATGAAGCTAGTTTATGCACGTTTGTATTAAGATTTGACTGCGACACTGATCTGACCTAGTATGAGGTTTGATATAAGTTTACAGAACTTTGAAAAGCCTTTGGTCGATATGAATTCACCGTAAATAGAAAGAAAAAACTTCCCGAAGAATATTTAGTGTTAATTGGCTGTAGAAAGAAAGCTTTGAGCGATTTTCTTGTCGCGAGTTCATCTTTGAAAACAGCAAACACCGGGAAACCGGCGGCTTAAAACATTATAAACTTAATCTTTAAGCTTATAAAAGACTTGAGGATTCTTAGAGACACCTAAATACTCATTTGTTTTCGTGAATGAAAAAAATTGTTGTCTCTGTAAATGTTCTACCGAATTGTATTTCTTTATTGATTGTTGGTAGTCTAAAAAGTGCAATTTTCATCGCTTTTGCATTTGTTTTCAGCCGTTCATAAACATCCCTTGCAGGAGTACTCAAAATGCCGAGCGAATCAAACGCTTTTGAAGATTACACATCGTTATAAAACCATTATTAAAAAATAGAACTCAATAAATTCTCTATCACGTTGAAGCGTAACTCTTTTAAAATTTCTTCGCAAACTTGGCGTTCGTCAAAAGTTAGGTGATTTTGGAAATTTTTTGAACTGTTTCTCTAAAAGTCCACGCGTGCTTCGATGGTCCTGAATATTGAATGAATGCAATTTGTATTGAAAAATTGTGAAATGCTGCATTTTGTAGAGGTCTGTATGATAAAAGCAACGCCTCACAGTACTCTTTCTCCTCAGATGTGGTGTATAAAAAAACAAAAGGTTGGTTTGCACGCACCCAGATTTATTGGCAAGAATTTGTAAAGTAAACTTGTCGAATGCAAAAAATTTCGGCCTGATTTGTTTTCCATGCATTATCTACTGTGATCAAGAGCCATTATTGCTCTTAAATGTGAACGAAGACTATTTTTTTGGTGTACATATAAGGCTATATCAACTCGATACAAGATTTGGTTCACTCCAAAATCACTTAGCTTTTCCCACAAAAGTGTGCTCTTAAGTTAACTGATTTGTGGAACACAAGTTTATTGTTTGATTTAAATCATAAATTTATCAATGGGAGCTTCGCTTTTAGCCGTGGCTAAATCTATATATTATGCGATTATACCGTTCAGAATGTGGTGGTCAGCAGTTCGAATAGCGACGATAGAATATAAACAAATCAAGACAGAAGAGCGTTTAAGTTGAAAATTATCTAAAGGTTGTCGGCTCAGTTTGATCCAGTTTCGTAGTCGAGCGTGTTACATAAAAAAATCCGAGCTACCTATTGCGCCGACAAGCGAGTTTGTAGAAAGATAGCAGTTCATTTGTCCCTATTACTTATTTGTGTCTTGAAGCAATCTTCCAGTGTTTTCAGATATTTTACGGCAAATGGCAGGAAGTAGGAAACTCTACGTGAATACTTCAACTCGAAATACTGCTGGATCATCTGACTAACTTCGGATCCACTGTGAATGGAACAGCGTAGATCACTAATTCGTTAATCTGGATTCGGATTCTTCGGATTTCAAATGCAATGAATCCTTTTTCAAAAAGGATTCACAAGATCAAAAATCCGAACTTGGATTTGCCAAAAGGAACGCGAAATCCGTTTTGGGATTCACCGAAACGAACACACCCGTAAATTGTTTGCCGACAGACTTGCCGACTTGCCATTTTAGTTGACTTTTAAAATTATCGTGTTCTTCTCCTATCGCCGCAAAATGAAATACAACTGCTGTCGAGTTTCTATTTCTGTTTTTCAAAACTGAATTGTTTAAAAATTGCGTTTTCGTCGAGGAAAGTGTACCAAAGGGATTTACCGATGGCTGCGTTTGTGATAGTTCATGCGGGATCTTACGGCGGACTATGGGAAAAATCTTTTTAACGTTTCAATGTTTTAGTCTTCGTGTTCTTCCACCAGTCGCCCAAAAATGAAATACAGCTACTACCAAGAGAGATTCTTCTGTTATTCGAAGCTGTTTTGTTTATTTGGTTTGGCTTCAGGAGAGCTTCGCAACGGGATTTCAACGAAAGTGGAAGTTGAACATGCAGTATTTTACAGCAGAGTACAGCAAACGTTTTTTAACCTCACTTAATCGTTATACAAAGTGAGCCTGTGTAATTTATTACAGTTAATGTCTCGTTTTAGTTTTGTAAAGGCAGGCGTAATTATTTCATGCCATAACAAGCAGTATTAGTGAGTTGAGACAGAGACTGACGATTTCGAATGGCCTTTCGTTTAATATACACAAGCTTAAATTTAATTTTCCGGTTGCAAATGGAAAGAGAAAGGCTTTAGAGAATACTCAGTTGTTGTGGTTTCTGGGAAAAAGTAACGGTAATTAGCGAAAATCTTACTTCGAGGCTCGTTCAACCTTTAAACGCCAAAAGCCGGCCAAAATAACAAACGAACAAACAAACACGGTACAAAGAAACCAAAGTTTACCCAGACATTTCAGTCACTCTCAGACTTGCTGTCTTGAATAAAAATATTGTTGTTGTACAACGTTCATTGAAGTTTCCCTCATGTTTTATTGTCGGTCATAATTTTGCAAGGATTAATGCAATATATTCCTGAAACACAACAGGTTTATCGAAACAAAACACAGTATTAATGAAACCATAGTTAATTAATAACTATGATGAAACACAACTCAAAAATATCCAAACACAACACGATATTTGCAAAACACAAAACAACTTTTCCAAAACACAACGCAAAATTCTCCTAAATAAGTAATGCAGGATTTGTTACAAAACAAAGCATGAACCAAAGCATGAACCCGTACTTACTCAAGTGCTGACATGTTATGCGCCTTGATTGCAAACGCCCGCCCTTTTCTTTAGTATCCCCACATATTTCAGTCTGTCTTGAAAATGAATGTTGTTTAAGCGCTTGAACTTCCGAGAAGAGCTCGAAGGAAACTCACCAATACTACTCTAAATGTGGAACAGCCGTAAACAAAGAGGAAGCTCTCATACGTTATTATTTTCAGCGTGCGTTTGATTACTCGGTTATATTACTTGTTTTAGAAAAGTACCATGCAACAGCATGTCTAGGCGTACTTTGCACTTTAGGCTTCGCGAATACACGGATAAGAAAAAGGAATACAAACACTAATGATGGCGACATTTATCAGGCCATTCAACAAGAATTGGATGGGCCAGGCTGCATGAGGAGTTATCGAGCTATGTGGCACACCCTTCGTTTGGATTAACGAATACAGGCACCAACAAAACAGGTGGAAGGAATTTTACAACAAGTTGATCCTGAAGGAATAGCCTTGCGAAAGGAGTTGTTAAGCTTCGAACACAAGGATAACAGCTTTATTCGATGACAAAGCAACCTTCATTGACATAAGTAAGACGCCCATCTTTGAGTGGGAAGTCGCAATTCTATTTATCCATCTTTGAGTGGACAAAGTAGTGCTTGTGCCAATGATATTTCAAATGTTGCAACAGTCACCAGGAGATAAACAAGAATATTAGTCAGGAATATAATTTCCTTACACTTCAATTTGTTGTTAAGCTTCGAACACAAGGATAAATGTAACAGCTTTATTCGATGACAAAGCAACCTTCGTTGACTCAAGACGCCCATCTTTGAGTGGGAAGTCGCAGTTGTTAGACCAACCTCGATCAATCACGAAAACTTCAGGGGACAAGGCTTTTTCAGTGTGTGCCCCAAAACTGTGGAATTCACTACCATTAGATTTGCGTAAGTCACCATCTTTAACTGGTTTTAAGAAAGAATTGAAAACATATTTTTTTAGACAATTTTTAGAGAGTGGGTCAATGTTTTTGTAAACTTTATGATTTTAAGACCTGTAATATAATGATTGTAAATAGATTTTTAATATTTGTTTTTTGCTTGTGATATGTAAATAATTTCATTTTCCCTTTTTTACATTGTAAAGCGCCATGAGCTCAGGATATGAGCGTTATATAAATAAAGCTATTATTATTATTACTATAAAGTCCAGCGCGAAATTTCACAAGTTCTGTTCAAAGCCTCAAGCTCGCCGATTAGAAGTCAGCAGCTGACGAACCGCCCAAGGAAAAGTCGCAAGCAGAAGCTAGACAAGTGGCAGTGAAAGCTCAAGACCTCAGAAAATCAGGAGCAAACTGGAAACTACAAAAGCAGCATATTCAGTAGAAAAAAGGTAAAACAGTTCCTTTATTACCGCAGAAAATACGGAGAATCATTTGAATTCAAGTTCAGAAGTTACGCAACCGGACCTTGCTTAGATGACAGATTACTTGCAATTCAGAAGAGAGTTTCATGACGACATTTGGATGCATTGATTAAATGAGGATGAATTGACTTTGCTCCAATATTGGAAGTTTAGAACTGATGAACAATAAAGTTTAATATTTTATTCAATCGTAGAGAAAACGTAAAAGGAAAAAAAACCACTTAATTTCCCGCTTAATTGTGTTAAGTTTGAATTGCGTAATACAACAATAGACATAGTTACGTAATATAACAATAGAAATCTACATATCTATCACAAGTAATTACAAGTATTCAGCAATATACGCATTTGCAATTAGGTCAATTAGTGATTAGTTAAAAAACAATTATAAAGTCAAGAATGCCTCCTAAGGTGACGTATCAATACTAATTGCGAAAAGAGATAGTACAATACGGTCGCATTGTACGAACTTTTAGAAGAATTTCAAGACATTTAGTGCTTTACAAAGTTCAGCCCGCATTAAGTACGCTTGAAAATGTTTAAAAAGAAATGGAAATTAAGGCCATAAGTGTTAAAAAAACAGCAAGATACAATTACGGATAATTACGGATAGGCTAATCGAGACGGGATCTACAGAAGAACAACTTAAGGGTAATCAGCAGGTCGGAGATAAAGTCAGAGGCGATTTTCTAAAATACAGCGAAATTTTTCCCACTTATCAAAAAGCGTGCAACTCCCAAGAACTCCCAAGAAAAGAGAAATTGCTTCGGGTGGTACGTGATGGGAACATTTGCTTCAAAGCAGGGAGAACGTCCCTCGGCTATCAATTCAATTGATGTAGGAACTGTCGATGTGTTAGAAGACATGAACAAACACCTTACACCAGACATGTTGGGAGTAAGACCAACCGAACTTTGTACGCGCAGAGATTATGATCTTAAGGAGAACACGTTTATCAAATCAATTGCAGAGTCGACTCAGATTGTTGAGGGGAGAATCCAGGTGCGAATGCCGTGGAATGGCGAGGGACCCCCAAAGGAGAGCAATTACGATGTTGCATATAAAAGAATGATTTCTTCTGTAAAGTCCTTTAAGAAAAAAAAATTGTCTCGAAACCGTTGAAAGCGAAGTTCAAAAGTTGCTGAATCAAGATTTCGTCGTTGAAATTCCCCCCTGAAAACGTAAACCATGATCAGCCTGAATGGTATTGGCCTTTAAGTTCGACTAGTGTTCGATGCCTCAGCGAAGGGTCCAAGAGGAAAGTCGCTTAACGAGCATCTCGAAAAGAGACCAAACTACATAAACAGTTTGCCCAACGTGCCTGTGGCTTGGCGCTTTGACAAAGTGGCTTATACCGGAGATGTTAGGAAAATGTTCAATTAAGTGTTGATCCATCCTGACGACCAAGTCTTCCACAGATTCCTATGAAGGACAAACGAAAGTTTGAAGCCAAAAGTCTATCAATGGAAAAGACTTAACTTTGGAGACAAACCAGCCCCAGACATAGCTGCAGGAGCAATCATTACCTTAGCTAAGGTTTCTTGAGACCGGTACCCGGAAGCCGCGAAGGAACTCCGAACCCATGTCTACGTTGATGACATTGGTGGCTCCCGAGAAAACGAAGAAAAAAGCAAGCAAATCACGAGTGAAATCGACGCTTTTCTCAGCAAAGGTCAGTTTCAAATCAAACGGTGGCATTCAAACAACAAGAAAGTTGATCAGACAGATAAAGAACATGTAGATTTTCTTGGGCATAAATGGAATAAGGTTCGAGACACCATTACCTTTAAGAAAACAGAAATTGTTGCAGATGAGAAGCCTGTCACAAAGAGAAATTGCCTCGCCTACCTGGCCCAGCTTTGGGATCCCACAGGCCTCGTGAATCCAACAACCATCGAGATGAGAATTAATTTACAAGAATTGTGGAGTTCAGGTTATCCCTGGGATGAAGTCCAGCGGACGAGATTCAAAGAAAGAGGAAAAAAAATGTCCAAGTACTCAACCAACTTCTTAAGTACGAATTCAAAAGAAAGCTAAAGCCAGATAATGCAGTTGGAATGCCATAAATACACGGTTTCTGTGACGCGGGAGAGAAGGCTTATGGTTCAGCCATGTTTCTTTGTTGGAAACCCACATCGGGGTAGTGCGTCAGATTGATCGTGCCGAGTGGGAAATTTGATTCAACCAATCAGAAACACCACCCAGATCTGGGTAGTGAAGCGTCATCAGTATGGAATTTCTGCGCTCGTTTCTCAGACGTCATTTGGCGGGGAAACCAGTGGCTGCGTCGCCAGATGTCGGCTGTTGTATCAGGCTGCTTTTACACAATTTTTTTAGGAAAACTCTCTGTTGGCAAGTCACTTTCATTCTTACAATCACACGTACCTATAAATTCTTTAATCAACCAACCTGAGGAAGGTCTGAATCTCTTCAGTCCTGAACCTTTTTGACTCTTTATTTCTTGCCTCCATGATGACGCATATTTATCCTCTATAGTCATAAAAAAACAAATCAAGGAGTCAGTGAAATTACCAAATATTTGCCTTGACATAATAAAGCCAATAGATTCAATAAAGCACAGAAGAGACTTTGATTTATTTATTTGTTTATTTATAACAACTTTATTTGTAATAATCAATAAAAAAGGCTGCCATCAGGGAGGAACTGAATCCTCATGTAAGATGACCCCCTAAAAATATCTACAAAGCTATTAAGGAACTATAAGTCAGATAAAAACTATTATAATGTAAGGAGAAATGTAAAAGATATCACTAAAATATATCTATTAATAATGGAGTTGTTAAAAATTATCTAATTATCAAATTAAATATGCAATCGCAACAATTTTATGTTCATTACTTACTAGTTAAAAAGTGTTCTCTTAAGCCCTTTTTAAATTTTGACAATGAATCGGCACATATTAGAGAATCTGGTAACGAGTTCCATTTATCTATATATCTATGCCAGAAAGAGAATTTTAAAATATTAGTTCTTGAAAAAGGTTTGCAAATCTTCCTACTATTTCTTGATCTAGTGCTAGCACGAGAGAAAATTCAAAGTTGTTATTTGAAGAATCATTGCCCAAAAGCATAGATACGCCCCTCGGCTATCAATTCAATTGATGTAGGAACTGTCGATGTGTTAGAAGACATGAACAAACTCCTTACACAAGACATGTTGGGAGTAAGACCAACCGAACTTTGTACGTGCAGAGATAATGATCTTAAGGAGAACACGTTTATCAAATCAATTGCAAAGTCGACTCAGATTGTTAAGGGGAGAATCCAGGTGCGAATGCCGTGGAATGGCGAGGGACCCCCAAAGGAGAGCAATTACGATGTTGCATATAAAAGAATGATTTCTTCTGAAAAGTCCTTTAAGAAAAAAGATTGTCTCGAAACCGTTGAAAGTGAAGTTCAAAAGTTGCTGGATCAAAATTTCGTCGTTGAAATTCCCCCCTGAAAACGTAAACCATGATCAGCCTGAATGGTATTTGCCTTTAAGTTCGACTAGTGTTCGATGCCTCAGCGAAGGGTCCAAGAGGAAAGTCGCTTAACGAGCATCTCGAAAAGAGACCAAACTACATAAACAGTTTGCCCAACGTGCTTGTGGCTTGGCGCTTTGACAAAGTGGCTTATACCGGAGATGTTAGGAAAATGTTCAATCAGTGTTGATCCATCCTGACGACCAAGTCTTCCACAGATTCCTATGAAGGACAAACGAAAGTTTGAAGCCAAAAGTCTATCAATGGAAAAGACTTAACTTTGGAGACAAACCAGCCCCAGACATAGCTGCAGGAGCAATCATTACCTTAGCTAAGGTTTCTTGAGACCAGTACCCGGAAGCCGCGAAGGAACTCCGAACCCATGTCTACGTTGATGACATTGGTGGCTCCCGAGAAAACGAAGAAAAAAGCAAGCAAATCACGAGTGAAATCGACGCTTTTCTCAGCAAAGGTCAGTTTCAAATCAAACGGTGGCATTCAAACAACAAGAAAGTTGATCAGACAGATAAAGAACATGTAGATTTTCTTGGGCATAAATGGAATAAGGTTCGAGACACCATTACCTTTAAGAAAACAGAAATTGTTGCAGATGAGAAGCCTGTCACAAAGAGAAATTGCCTCGCCTACCTGGCCCAGCTTTGGGATCCCACAGGCCTCGTGAATCCAACAACCATCGAGATGAGAATTAATTTACAAGAATTGTGGAGTTCAGGTTATCCCTGGGATGAAGTCCTAGCAGACGAGATTCAAAGAAAGTGGAAAAAAAATGTCCAAGTACTCAACCAACTTCTTAAGTACGAATTCAAAAGAAAGCTAAAGCCAGATAATGCAGTTGGAATGCCATAAATACACGGTTTCTCTGACGCGGGAGAGAAGGCTTATGGTTCAGCCAAGTTTCTTTGTTGGAAACGTGATGACCTGCGTACAGCTCATGGTGAAAGCCTTTTTCTCCCTGCTAAAGAAGAAGTCAATACCGAGCTTGGAGTTAATGGGTTGTCTCGCGCTCTCAAGGTTATACCGAACATGTAGAGAATCCTTAGAATTCGCGGAGATTAGCAGCTGCAAGAAAGTGTCCTGGATCGACTCTCAAGTTGTTCTGTCAAGGCTTAAAACAAGTCCGAGAAAATTTAAACCATTTGTCTCTGTACGCGTTGCTGAAATCCAAGAGACAATAGACCCTCAAGAGTTCAGCTACATCAGATCTGAACATAATCCAGCTGACGCCTTGACGAAGGGAATTCCCCCGGAACAGCTGGAAAAATGGTCACAAGGACCGCAGTTCTTTAGAAAGCCGCAAGAAGAGTGGCCCAAATTTGAAGAAAATGCGCTGAAGATCAATGACGAGTTGTCAGCTGAAATGAAACCTCCCACTGAAGCCAGACCAACGTCCTGCGACAAAGCAGAATTTTCAATTGCCCAGAAAGAATTAAGAGACTATCCTCTCTTTGAACATTTGATGAGAACGTGTTCAACATTCTCAAAGGCCAGGAAAACGTTAGCTTACGTACTAAGATTCGTCAACAACACAAGAGTGAAGACGAATAATAGAGATCCAATTTCGCCAAAAGAACTGACGGAGTCAGAACTTCGGTTGTTCAAATGGTGCCAGCAGACGATTGACGTACGACAAGCGTTGGATGCTACCTCCTAAAACCAAGCCCTCACAGAAGAGCAGTGGAGAACGTATTTAGCAGAAGTTACACGCTTAATAAATCAGCGTCCTCTCTACCCAAGCTCAAACGGAATTTGGATAAGTCCGCCTATCACACCAAATGATCATTTGATCGAAAATCATTTTCCACCTTCGATGCGAGAGGTAGAATCGAAAGTAAATCCAAGACACCTCATGAGAAGTACAGAGAAACGAGTGCAAGAGTTTTGGAATTGCTGGATGAAATATTTTGCTCCCAATCTGCTGCCAAGCGGTTCAGAAAGCCAGAAAATCTACGAAAAGGAGATTTGGGGTTAGAAATTGAACCAACTCCAAGGATAACGTGGAAGATGGGACTTGTACTCGAAACTTATCCCGGTGAAGATGGTCTTGTTAGAAAAGCAAAGATTAAAACACCAACGTCAGTCTATGATCGACCAATTCACAAATTATGTTTAATCGCGACAAAAGAAGAATTAAACAGCATATCTTAGTTATACAACCTGGTTAAAGCTAACTTGTGTAGCGCAAAGAAACAAGTTGCTCAACCAATTACTTAAGTAATTCGCTTTCCGCACCGGGGGGGGAGTGTTTTGCATTCCGCCCATAGCCGGAGCAATACTGCGTG